CCCGCTATCTCCAGCAACATGGGAATTGGGAAGCATTACCACGTCGACGACACCATCACTGTCGAAAGCGGTGACCTGCTATTGTGGTGGTGGTAATTTTGGAAATGGTGGTATAGATGCAGTGGTATTCGTGGAGGTGGTGGGACGTGATGATTTTCTTATATGTAGTTTGTTGGCTCTGGTGGTGGCAACAGCGGCTCTGTTGTGGTGTTTGCTGTTGCCTGTGGTCACGGTAGTTGGTGATGTGGTATTGCGGTGTTGGCTATGCTGTTGTGGTGGCTCTGTTTGCGTTGGCTTTGATGGTGGTGGTAGCGGCTCTATTGCGATGTTTGCTATTAGTTGTGGTCGCGGTAGTGTTGGCTGTGGTGTGGTGCTATGTGATGTGGTTGCGGTGATTGGGTACTGTGGTGGTGCAGTTGTAGCTATGTTGTGGTAGTTGCTTTATTGCGTTGGCTCTGGTGGTGGTAGTGGCGACTCTACTGCTATGTTTGCTATTAGTTTTGGTCGTGGTAGTGTTGGCTATGGGTGTGGTTTGGTGTGATGTGAATGTGGTAGTTGGTAGTGTTGGCTATGGGTGTGGTTTGGTGTGATGTGAATGTGGTAGTTGGGTGCTGTGGTAGTGCGTTTGTGCTATTGGTGTGGTAGTGTTGAGGTGTGGTGGTGTTTGTTGTTGGTAGTAATGGTGGTATGACTATTGTGATGGTGGTGAACGAGTAGCGGTGTGGACGAATGGCGGCAATGAAAAGTGGAAAGTGTTTTGAATATGTAGTATATGGATTAAATGGTGGTGGGGTGGTGTGGTGTTGATGGTAGAGTGGATGTACTGGTGTTGGTGGTAACCATTTATTTATTAATTGTAACTTTTTGTGACCAAGTTTTGTTAATTTTAACTGGTCTTGGTCATGGTGCTTGTGTCGATGGTGATGCTGTTAGGTTATATTGGGGGGTGGGGTGGGGTGGGGTGGGGTAGGGTGGGGTGGTGTGGTGTTGGTGGTAGAGTGGATGTACTGGTGTTGGTGGTAACCATTTATTTATTAATTGTAACTTTTTGTGACCAAGTTTTGTTAATTGTAATTAGTCTTGGTCATGGTGCTTGTGTCATGGTGATGCTGTCAGGTTATATTGGTGGTGGTGTGGTGCAGTGCGGTGCCAATGGTTCCGTTACTGGTAGTACATGTGGTTCTGGTGAGGTAGTATATGTTTGGTTCTGGTGTTGGAAATGGTGGTGAGTGACCAAATCTATTTTCATTGTGATTTTTGTGACCAAATTTGTGTTAACTGTGACCGTATGTGACTTAGTTATATATAGTCACAAATTAAACTAACATGGTCATAGACAGTCACACCGAAGACAAATTTGGTTATGAACACATAAGATCGTAGTTCATACATTACGGGTCATAATTCGCCGTTAATGTCACAGTTCACTGGTCACATGTTTGAGTTTACAAGTCATAGCTATTTCATATAAGTCACAAATCAATATAAACGGGTCACATACCAATATTAAAAGGTCACATGTCGTTTTGTAGAAGTCACGAATCAAATTTATTTTATGTGACGAGTCATGGGTAAAAATTACAGGTTAAAAACCATATTTTATATATCATAATGTATACAGGTCACAATTTATTGCCCAAAAAAAGAAAAAAGGATCTTTGAATATAATATATTTAATTACAAAAATATTTTTTTATTAATTATTTCATAACTAAAATTTTAATAGTATTCGATTTTTGAAATTTCAAACTTTATTTCTTAATTTTGAAATTGATCATATGCATATTCATCCCAACTTATAGGTCACAGATTCAATATAACTGGTTACATATCACAATGTGCACAGGTCGCAGATCTAATGGAATTGGTCATAGGTCATGGTTAAAAAAAAAAAAAAAAAAAAAGTAGTTGACAAAAAGGTGAGTGGTCATCGGAATAGCCCCTAGAACGTCGAAGAGATCGTCGGAATTACTGGGGGTTGTCGAAATATTCGTCGAAACTAGATAGGTGGCCGGAATTACTGTCGGAGAAGTCGCCGAAGAGTTGCCAGAGAAGTCGCCGGAAGCGAGGTGGGTGGAGAGAGAAAGAGAAGGGTTTGATGTAATGGGTGGTAGGTGGGTTGGAAATGGAGTGGGATAAGTAGATTAATTATACCATATTATAATTAAATATTTAATAAATTTAATTATCACCTGATTTTTGAAAGATTTTTAGAAATTTATGAGTTTTGAAATGTGATTTTTTAGTGGATGATTTATGTGGTTTTCCCTTTTTTCAAACTTAAATAAAAAATTGATTTTAGTCATGCCACAAGCGAAAGGATAATGTTTATAATTAATTCATTTTAAGATATGATAAAATATTAGATTTCATGTTTACTTGTAAGAATGTGGATATTCTTTTATTATCTTTCACGATTTTATTTTAAAAATAATCACAAAAGGTCATGAAAATCAGGGAATAATTACATAATCGTTATTGGGGGGATACTCCTAGAAATGTATTTAGATTGGTTTAAAAACAAACAAAAGACATACAAATAAATCTGTTTCGCGCGGTTTAATTCGCTAACAATTAAAGAGGATCAGACGATTGTGTAAAGGACGAAACCTCTTGAGACAAAGTCCCAAAAAGGGGTGTTCTTTTTATTGGCGATAAACCCTTACAATTGGAAACGGAAAACAACGTGCCTCCAAGGGGCGCAAGCACACGAGTTACAGAAAAGGAAATGTTTAAGTCTAAAAGCTAAAAGAATGAAAATTACATATTCTCTGTTCGAGAGTTTTGGATTCGGTCCTTTCTTCTAAGTTCTTTCTCTCTTTTATACTTCATAGGCGATCCCTTTGTGATTAACTGTTCTAAAAAACTGCTTAATCGCCCTATAACTACCCACTTTCTTTGTAGTGGCCATTTTGTCATGCAACTGTCCTTTTAATTGCTGCCATTATCTTGCATCGTTCAACCGCTTTGGATTGAACCCCTCGAGTCATGGAACGTGATAAAGTTACTTTAGCAACTGCCTCAATAACTGCATCATAATGCGTTATGTTTGTTGATACCTTGGGCGACTTGAACATTTGGGCGAGACTTTGGACGACCGTATGCCACTCTATTCGTTCAGACTCTGAGCGACTTGCAAACTTGGACGATGGCGTTACCGCACTATTGGGCCCCTTATTTGGGCATTCACCTTGATTCGTTCAATTGGATTTCGTTCTTTGGGCTATCTGATTTGGGGATCCTCCCATTAGATTTTATTCTCTGGGCTGTTCGATTTGGGCTGAATTTTTATGTGTCAACAATTACCCCCCAATATGGCAGAATTAATAATAATTATTGAATTTTGCCATATTCACTTCACGCCTTCAGCAACGTTCACGATTCCCAAAGAATTTCAATCATTGTTTTTTTCTATAACTTGAAAATGTGCGTCGCTTTGCAAACCCTTATAAACCCTGAACACGCCATTTTACTGCTACGAAATCACGTTTCATATTTCTTACGCATCCTTCGCGATTCACTGTTCATATTTTGCTTCCTTGTTACGTAATTCTGAAAAGCTTCGCTCCTTCTTCAATGGCTGCTTTACAATCCCAAGCTAGCGATTCCTTTAGTTTTGACGACTTTCAGAAACTTCTGAGTCGTTCATACGTAACCCCAAGTTTTCTTGCGCCCCCCGATGTTGGACGTAATGAGTTTTACTTAGGTCCTTTCTTCAACAATGCGGAAGCA